CTGTTGGCTTCTGGGAAATGTAGTCCTTATGAGTGGTGATACAGTATATGCTTATTGAGAGAAAACTACAAAATGGCGGCACCTGTCTGAAGTACTTCATTTTTTCGTTAACTATTTACTGAACAGTATCCTGTACTGTCCCAATCACATAAGTAATATTAAAGTTGACATTTGTGTGTTGTGTACATATACGTGTCGACTACATATCTTTTAGGTAAGAGCTTGAGCAGACTTCCAGCAGACATGAAGGAAAAGGTAATAGTGAGGACATATTGTGCTCATTTGAGCTCAGAGCCTGCATGCAGTGGTCTGAACGGTTTGCCAAACTCTTCCTCCACAAAGCAGGACAGGAACACGCTCAGAGAGAAGAAAGATCCAGAGAGGAGGTGATGAGGAGCTAAAATGATGATAAGCAAATCTAAAAGAAATGAAAACATTGGGAGACATGGCCAGTCGAAAACAAGGTCACATCTGCTTTTACTTGAAGCAATTTAAAGAAACAAGATGCTGAGATGAGTGCAATTTCTTTTCCACCATCTCTCGTTGGTCAGCGCATGCTATACACACCACCCCACCCTGCCTGTATGTTTCCCTACAGGCAGGTATGTGATGCCGCATTTGGAATATGCACAGTACAGTACATAGCTCTCTGCAGTTGTTTTAGGAGGACAGAGTAATCAAAACCGTGAGGTATGAAACAAATGCTGTAATTTATAGTCCATTGGAGGCACAGCGTGCATCACATACACGTCTGTTACCAGGAAATGTGGGTGAGCATGAGACCGAAAGATGAAAATAAGAAGGAAGGGTTGGAAATAAGCTGATGATTGTGCCAAAAAAACAAGACTTTGCACAGTTGAATAGCAGCGTTTCAATCTATTTTTTAACGCTTGTTCCCTCCAGATGCAGCCCAAATGAGAGATTTTCTGTCTTTTCCATCTTGAGTCGAATACACAAGGATTATTAATGTGCCGATTTAGGCGTGTACTCACCTTCTTCTCACTGTACCCATCCTGTGCAGTGACCTGCCCACTGGTTAACCCGCTATTAATTCACCTCTAACCTCTGTCTTGTCATTTATGTTGCAGCCTTGCATGCTGCGCTCCAAACGTGTGTATCATCTTGAGGGTTGACGTCCTGTAGCAAGCCACCGGCTTTTATTGACAGGAGACCGGTGAAAAATAGCCCCTCAGGGTCGGACAGCACCCACTCCTCTCCCATCCTTTTCCTGAGGAGCTCAATCCATGAATGGGATTGAATTGGTGCTCCCTATCCAGCCCGCCGACTGGTTTCAGAGTGGAAATTCATCAGATGTGGGGATGAAGTTGATCACAAATGGCCCATTAGGCCCCAGCAGGTCGATGATGAACTAATTGAGGAAAGCTCCAGCACTGACAACCTCACCTAGCTGTCCAATCCATAACTGCAGATAAATGGGTACTGATGATTCCAGAGCCTGCTGGTATGACTGATGCTCTGAACACATCTACTTTTCATGTATTGAATCACAAAAATATACCTTTTTCTTCCCCTCTGCATATTTTAATGCAGGATAAGAATGACTGAACTAAACACTTGTCCCCTGCTAGTTTGAAGGATTTCAGGTGAGCTCCAGGCGTGATCAGTAATTCCCTGGTTTCCAGATGGGTGATGAATGATCCCAGAGCTAAACACATTTCAGTGCACAAAGGAAGAACTGTGCTCCTTGATATAAGAATATAGCAGAAGCTTGCAGGCCTTTGCGAAATGTGTTTTTATAGATGGAGGGATAAGCTTCAACATGGAGGAAGCCGCATTTGGAAGCTTTAAGCATATTAAACCATACAGATCTAATCCCATGCTTGATGATAAGGACTTGCTGTATTACGTGTGTTTATGTGTGTGCAATCGCTTTTTAAGAGCCTCCCTGTGCCTGAACCGCTTCCCATTTAAACTTAGATGTTTTTCATCACTTTTTGAGGCCCGTGATTGTAGAAAATTCATTTTCAGGAAAAGATGGATTTCTTTGAAGGTGGTCAGCTTGTCAATTTTTTAACATTTTTGAAAAACCCTCAAAGTCTGGGAACAAATAGATGCAGAGAATTCACTGTGATGGGCCCAGTCGAGAGTAACGGTATGAAGGGATGAAGCAAATCAAAACATATTTCAGCTTTGAGCTCTGAATTTTATAAAGAATAATAATAAGAACCTAATAAGAAATACAACCATATAATTTTCAATCTATTTGGCTTAGAATTAATTCATTTTCAAAGAAGATTAATAAAATTGTGTTTTTGTTTGTAAAGATGCTTAAATTGGTACCAAACTAATACTTTGTAATTAAAAATTGCTGATCTTCATTAAAATTATCCTCCGTCGGAAATGTAACGTATGCAATTAAATAAACCCCTTCAACCAGTTTTAAGAAAAATCAGTATAAACATTTACATTTTACTTTCAAACCCAAACTTGATCAAAAAGGTGTAATAAAATTAAAACAGGTTATTTTATTTTGGCTTTTTAAATGTTTAAGTTAGAAGCAACTTTCATGTGTGTTGCATCATATATATATATTTTTTTTCATTATTAAAAAAAAAATAAATAAAAGGCATAATGTTGAATTTTCAGTCATTTAGTATTCAAATTATGCAATACCAGTAAAAACATTAGACTGGATTTGATGGTAACTATGTTATCATTTTATACTCATATAAAGTATATCATAAGGATTTTGCATATGATGTGAAGAGAATGGAATTTACTATTATTATTATTTTAGTTTATTCATTTTTAAAACAAAACAAAACAATTCTATATACAATAAGAAATACAGTCGCTAATAAAATGAAAGGCAGCAAAAAGAAGAAAAAATCTTATATCTGCCCCTTTTTTTTTTTCAAAAAAATTAATTCAAACAACAATAATCTTCAAATAACAAAAACAAAATAAATAACTCCTTCTCGAGCAACAATTCATACAAAAACACATTAAGCTGTTTTTTTTATTTTTTATTTTATTTTTTAACAAATCAACTTTGATCATCCTCTTAAACATACACATTGATTTGGCATTGTTAACATCACTCTTGCACAATTGCTGAACCTGTTAAAGTTTTTGTTCGAAATTTATTGAGCAGCTGTGGCTCCAGAGCTGCAGATTCAGGAGTTCAACCTGATTTTTTTTTTAATGCTGCGCTTCATTTGATTAATGTGTCTTGAGCTCAATAAAATAAAACAACATTTTAGACCATTTGGAAAACATGAGGGATGCCTCTCGTCTATTGTCCTAATTTTTTCCTACGTCCCTGAACTTTATGACAATATGTAAAACAAGTTAAGAAATAACTGTAAAAATGTAATATTTGGCCTATTTGACCAGACACCAAGCCCCTCATTTTCTTGGCTTATTCCCAATTTAAATAGTGGAGTGTTTACATCTCAAAGTAAACCAAAAGTTATTTAAGATTGTTTTAATGTTATTGTACGAAAGCAACAAAGACATTCAAGTTAACTGCCTGAGACAGAGTCCCACATATACACGTGCACCTGAATGCAGCACAACCACAGCAGGTGTGGTCTATTAGTTGATTATGTCAGTGAGAAAATAAAAACCTCAAGAGCAACATCTTCATCATTCATCTCCAGAAGCAGCTGGAAGAGCTCAGTTGGACTCCTTGACCACACGCACCAAGATGAACAAGTTGTGCATTGTTCTCCTGCTGGTCCTCTGTTTCTTACCACAGGTTTGTTTAGCAATTATATATATATTTTTTTTTTTTCCAGTTTAACAAATGCCTAACTGGATAATTGATCTGTCATGTGAGTTTAAAGCTGATTCAGACTGTACTTGTTCAGACCAACTTAACTTTAGAAATCTTGTTCAAGATTATGTTTTGATTATTCTCAGCCCTTCCCAAATGGTACTCAACATTATCAAATGTGTGCTGTACTAGTATTAAAGGAAGTGCTCCCCCCCCCCCCCTTTTTTTTAATTTATTTAATTTTCGTTTTTTTCTGTCCGATTGTCAACTATTCTGCCTTGTAACTTTAATGTCTCTGATTCAACACACTATGGAAATTAATGCTTCACTTTTCCAGGTTTTGGCACAAAACGATACAGTGGCTAAAACTATAACTGGGGTGCTGGGCGCCGCTTCAAATTCCACCTCCCTGGCAGCAGGAACAAATGTCACGGCGCTGGGTGCTGCTTCCAATACCACTGCCCTGGCTCCAGGAATGACGAACGCTACGGTTCTGGGCGCCGCTTCCAATGCCACTGCAGGAGCTAACTTCACAGTGCTGGGTGCTGCTTCCAATGCCACTTCCAACAACACTGCACTGGTTGCAGGAGCTGCAAATGCCACAGTACTGGGCTCCGGTTCCAATGCCACAGTACTGGGCTCCGGTTCCAATGCCACCGCCTTGACTGCAGGAGCAAATTTCACTGTGCTGGGTGCCACTTCCAACGCCACCTCCCTGGCAGAAGTGAATGGCACAGAGCTGAGCACCGTTTCTACAATCACTACCACTCTACCTGTCAGCACTACTCTTGCCACCCTCTGCACCACCTGCAGTGGTTTTGCTGCAGGGTTCAACACATTAACTCTGTTATTCCCTGTGGTTCTCACTGCTATTTCCCTCAATGGCTGATCCAGTCATGACCCAGTCCAGCTTGTACTACTCATTCAGGTGGAATGGAAATGTCCTTATACTTCGACCCCTGTTCTACTTTGAGTGGAGGTGAAGTTGTGTCCACTGGAGCACATGAGGGATGCTGTCTTGTTTGCACTTACCATGGGGCACCATGTTCTCATACGTTTTTGTAATCTCTACATGGATTAAAGTTATTGGGGGAGGGGAGCATGAAGCTGTTAAGGAATTCTGTGTGTAGGGGGGTGTTTGACAACTTGTATTTTAAAAATATGGAGTTGAGATTCAGTCTGAATGTTTTACCTGTTCTAAAAATCAATGTGTATCATGTGCATTTTTTAAAGTTTAAATTAAAGCAAAGTATCTTACCATGTGTCTCCTGTTGCAAATTTTTTAGCAGTATTAAAATTTGCTTTTGACATTTAAGTTTTAAAGAAATTTCCTTGATGTATTTAAAATGTAAACTCTTGGTCTCCTTCCAGCTTGACTAACTTGTAAATCCAGTTGACAAATTTTATATTCTTGAAGGATGTAAAGGTCCACATTGATACAAAACCAGAGACGCCCAGCATCCTTCTCTTGGTCACCGGTTTCTCATTTGATCGGTGCTTTCGACAAAGATGACTGGGGGGAACGGTATTTTGCATTCCACATCTTTTTGGCCCCTGGGCTTTTGAGTTTGACACGTATGTTCTAAAGCTAAAAATTCCTCAGTTCAGTCTTTAGTCAGTTTCCAGTGGGCTGTACTAAAAAATATTTGAGTAGATTTTGGTTCTGAGTCAAACTGTCTTCAGCATAGAAAACCTCATTCAAACCCTCTCCAGAACCATATTGCTAATGAGCAGTATTTGAAGCAGAGGGGAAACTATAAACGGAGTAGCTTTATAGTTGAGCTTTCTTGGCCACTGAACAAAGCCTTTCTAGCTGCAGGCAGTGCTGCAATCACTCTGGCTCCATCATACATTCCTCCCAAATACTTCAGTTCAAAGGAATTCCACCTTTTTACTGGTTAAGAACCATGGCCTTTGGATTTGAAGTGGACTCCTAGAGCTTCACACTCTTATGATCTTCCCCAGCACATGCATACTAAGTCATGAAATGAACCAGCCAACAGAGCCACTTTTGTCAAAAGCAGAGGCAACCTGAAACCCTGAGCTTACCAAACTTGATGTCCTCATCCTGACTCCACTTGAGACCCTGTCCATGAATGTAAATCTAGCTTCAGTAGGTGGCAAATGTCCTTTCAGGCAGGGAGGCTTTGGTAACTTTGTCACCTCCACCACTCTAGTGATTTTGCAGAGGACTTCCCACAGCAAGCTGTAATGCAGCCTTTCAGGAAGCTCTCAACTGTGCATCTGTAGATGCTTAATGTTTGAACCAGACCTCTTTTAAATTTTTTTTTTTTTTTTTTTTTTTTTTGTTTAGCTGCTTTGAAAGGTGAACCATAGATTTTCTGAGCAGACTGAATCAGCAATCACTTGTTAAATTAATCATCTTACAGGTTTTGCACCATAAAGCTCTTATTCCCTAGTCCTATTTTAGTAAATGATGGCAGCTAGTTTGCAAAAAAGTTTTAATGGAGAAAAGTGGAACTATCAATTTGAGGCTTGAATGCTGTGACTTGCAGTGGCAAGGAAATGAGTCAGATGCATACATTTTATAAACTTTTATGCCAAATATGAAAATATATGCAAATTAAACCATAAACAGTCATGATCAGATGGCCCATATAGCATTTTAACTATCACACAGAGGAACATCAATTAGAGCACTTTTACTGGAGACAGTCAAATTTGATATTTGAGTGAATGAGGATCTAACAGGATGTCTCAGGCTGAGCTTCTTTATACAGCCTACATTAAGTCATTAACATGTAGAAGATTAATGTTATAAATCCATGGACTACATCCAACTTCATTTATAAACTTCACCCCAAATTTTAAAAGTCAAACAACTAACAGGCCAAACTGAGCATCTATGAGCTTCAATGAGAAGAAAAAACTTGGAGATTTTATTTTAGCAATTCAATTTCCTTATCTTTATTTCAAAAGACAGCATAAAATGTAACAGTTTTAACATTTGCATAATGTAATTGTAAATTAAGGGGAAACTACCAATGCGTATGTGATGTTTTTATTGTGCCGGATCTAAAACGTTTTAACTACATGCCGCCAAAAAAACTTTTAACACTCATTTTAGACATACATAACAACAAAAGTGAGGCTTGCAGTAAAATACTAACTTGTCTTTTGGATTTATTATTTTTGCTTCAGTATTACTCTTGCATTTAGTCAGTTTATTTTGTTTCAGTGTTGTTAGCATCGACATTACTTCCAGTTTTATTTGGTAAAACTGGTTTTGGTTTTGTTTCTTGTCACGCTGCCTGATTGCTGACGTCTGAGCTTGATTTAGTTGATAATCATGTATGTGCTTCTTGTTTTAGAAAAAAGTTCTGAAAAACGAACTCATACAATGACAAATCTCTTGTGCATTTGACCCATCACACATGTGACATACAGTAGCAATTTAAGTGCCAATGGAGCGGTTAGAAAGTGGTTGCTCAAGGACACCATGACATTTGAGCATAGCAGAGGATCAAACCTGCAACTTTTCTTTCCCCAGAAGGCTGCCCTACCACTGTGCCATGATTGCATCATTGTGTTTTGTTAATTATATTTGTTGCCGTGGCTTTGTTTGGGATTTATCCTTGTTTTTTTTTTT